AAATACTTTATTATAGCGTTTTGAAAAGCTCTCGAGGTAATCTACAAGAATATGTAATAAAAATAGAGATTTTCATGTAAAAAAGTATTTATTAATGACCTTGACTTGATTTTGACAAGGTCAAATTCATATTATCATCATGTGTACCCCTTCAAGCTGCGTAACTTTCGTTCGAAAAATTCTTTTCAATAAAATCATTAGTTCGCGAGATAATCGACTGTATCACTTAAAAAGAAACATCCTATATATGTAATATATTTTATATATATATATAAATTTTATATACTACAGCTTCATTACGTATATATATATGTGTGCATGTGTATAATGAAGAGATTATACAGGGTGTCAAGAACATTTTTGCAGTCCCGAAGTGTGCAGGTAGATCGGCTTAAATTAAGAAGGAAGGTACTATACTTTTGCGACATTCGCAATAATGAACGAAAAATTAATTAAAGAAGATCGGACAATGCGCGTGGCTAGAAATGCATGGCGGTAAAGGTGATCTCACTTAATATAATAGCGGCTCGCGGCGAAACAGTGATTGAGGAGGGGAAGAGCGATGAGTGTGTAGGCCCGCGGCGAAGGCTCTTCCCCTCCCCAATCACTGCTGTTTCTGACACCTTATATATAAAATTAAAATTTGTATCAGTTATTCTATTTCTTTTTATCATACCTTTAATAAAACTGTAATGTTCAAAAGAAATATTGAATGGTGTATTATAAAGTGATGTATTATATTCAGTATCGAAATGAAGAGATTCCTGTTGAATTTGTACCACAAACAAGTTCATCATCTGGGTCCTTGGGAGAGCCTATAGAAAATAGTTTAAATATATTTACTTAATTAATATTAGATTTAACACACAATAGCAAAATGCATTAGAGCTTACTTTCTACGTGTATGTAAAAAAATCTCTTATACTCTTATACTCTTAAAATATAGAATAAATAATTTAAAAATATAAAATATTAATAACAAAAATGATTACTCAACATATAACTTTAAAATTAATATTTTTAAAATTATTAAAATATATTATGTAGCAAAATTATCTTATTATACACAGTTTCTACATGTATACATATATTATGTGGAATCTGAATGATAATTTTTCTTTTTTTATATATAATAATTTAAAGTCGGACAAATGTAACATAGTGACTTTGATACACACACACAAAATAAAAGAAACATAAAAATGTAAAAATATTTTAAATTGTATTATCTATGTATATTGCATTTACTTGAAAATTAGCATTTTTAAAAAACTCACTTTTCTTTGTAAATATGGAATCTTTGCCTATATACATTCTGATTTATAAAAAAAATTGCACGCTATAATGGTAAATATTTAACTTTACACAGCCACAAATGACTTAACCTTAATATATATTGTCAAGATCATAGCACTGAGTAACATCCAAAAAGTTTTAGACGTCGCTCGTTGATTATTAAAAAATTCTTCAATATGTTTATTCCTTTATAATTTTCAATATGAAAGGTCAATTATTGCACAATGTATCTAAAAATTCTGTGAATGTTATAAAACTTCTTTTATTTATAACTTTTTAATAAACAACGAGCAACGCCAAAAATTTTTTGGATTATTTAGGGCAGTGACCTTGACAATATATGTCAAAGTCGAGTCATTTGGGGGTGGCTGTGTAAAGACAAATATTTAGATAAATATATATATGTTTAACGCAAACCTTGCTCACTTGCAAATAATATCATATATATATATATATATATATATATATATATATATATATATATTGCTTGCTAGTGAGTAAAGTTTGCGCTGAAGAATGCTTAAAATAACCTGATTGGTGACATATAATCCAAGAAATGCGACAATAGCCTCATTTAACAAAGAGGATAACGACCAAAGTGGATTTTCATAATAAGAACATTCCTGTATTATTTTATGAGCCATAAAGCGGGCAACTTTGATTTTAGTCGCAACAGAATCTACATTGTCATTGTAGATAATATCTGCTTCTCTGAAAATTACAAAAATGTTTTATATAATGATTATTTCAGTTGTATAATACCACATAAAAAATATTGTATTTCCAAATTTATAATTAAATGATTCTATTAATTAACATATTAATTATATATTATTATTAATGTTTTATTTCTAAATGCTCATTACAAAGTAATGCAATATATTGGAAGCGAGTATTGCACTATATATATATATATATATATATATATATATATATATAGATATATATATGATCCATCATATTGTTATGTATTGTTAATGTAAATTTAATTGTAAATTTAAAAAAGTTATATATATATATATATACATATATATATATATATATATATATATATATAACTTTTTTAAATTTTGATGGATAAGAGTGAAAACCTTAATATAATACTTATATATATTCTTATACCTTAATATAATTATTTAATTTACAACTTTATATTTTAATTTGTAATTTTCAATTTTAAGATTATAAAATATGTATATTTTAATGTTATTCTTCATAAGTTGAGGTACATTGAAGATATAGATTGTCCAGAAAGTTATTGTTTTGTGTAAACTTCAAATTCGAATACGCATATTTTAGCAAGTGAACTTTATCGAATGAAAAGAGGACCATTGAAGTTTAAATATTTTTGCCAACGAGAAACAATATTTATTTATTTCTGTAGCATAAAATTTAGATTTTTAGACGCGACTAACTCTTCGAAGGCGTTTCTCAGTAGCTTTATTGTTAAAGATTTTCTCCTGCAAGAAATTGTCAAAGTGTTTAAAGAAGAGATAGTCAGTTGGTGAGAAAACCGGCGAATACGATGGGTGAAACAGAGTTTCATGGAGCTTCATAGTTCAATTGATTAATACAGCGTCGGTGTAGAACAATTGGAACTTTTCTGTTGACCAACACCGAACGCAAACTTGTCAGTTCCTGATGCATTTTGTCAATTTCCTGACAGTACTCTCTCCCGTAATAATTCCGCCCGAATTTAAAAAGCTGTAGTAAATTATCTCGGCTGACGACTACCAAATAGTCACCATAATCTTCTTTTAATACAATTTTAGTTTCGGAGAGTGTTTTGGCGCTTCATCATGGTCCAACCATTGTGTAAAACGTCGACGATTATCATACAAGAACCATTTTTCATCGCACGTTACAATGCGATCAAGAGACGGATTATTCTGTTTGCGCAAAATCAGTGCAGAACATACTTCAAAGTGACGATTCTTTTGATTTTCGCTCAATTGATGCGGCATTCATTTGTCGAGCTTTTTTGTTTTTCCAATTCGTTCCAGGTAATCAGAAACAAGTGACTTGCTTACGCCAAATTTTTCCGCTAGTTCTTGAATCGATGTGCGTGATTCTGTTTCAACTAACACTTTCAAGTGGTCGTCGATAATCGCAGTCGTTCAGAACTTTTCAACTTCAAGGCTCTCCACTGAAATTTACGGAAATCACCATTGCATTGTACGTTCATTAGGGGTTCCTGGACCAAATGCATCGTTAATATTGAGTGCCTTCAGTTGCTTTACTTACGCCTCATTTTGAATTCATATAAAAAAATCGTTAGAATTTGCTATTTTATCATTCTTAATTTCATAGTTTAAATAAAACGGAAACCAATATTAAAACACAGTTATTTTCATTAAAATATAGAGCGAAATTTGGGTTTTTACATTGATATAATATAAATACAAAAGAAAGACAACGTGAAATAGCGTCAAATCTTAAACAAGAAAAATCGCAATAACTTTCTGGACAATAATAAACTGGACTAATAATAATAATAAACGATTAGGTATGTTTCTCCTCTCAATGCTTCATACAATATATCTTATTCTTTAAAATATATTCAAATAATATTTTAAAAATAGAGAAAAGATATGTAAATAATTTTAGTTAACAAGACTTTGTGTTGTTCTCTTTTTTATTTTTAAAATATATTAATTTTTTCTAATTATATAATTACCTGTAAAGAATAAGTCCCAAATTTATAATGCTTTCGTTTTGAAAATCTGGAAGTGCAATATGATTTATTTCCAAAGTTTGATTCAAACGTTTCCATTTATCGAACAAGTACGTTGTTATATTTCCAGCAAATTGGTGTGCAAATTCGCAATGCATTCTACACCACATATTAACTCTGACACTTTCATTTGTACCAGGCATAAAAGATAAATTAATTCGATTGATAAATAGTAGATAACTAGGCTTTATAAATGTATGAAAATATGTCTTCGTCATGTTTTTATCATTCCTTTCTATTGTTTGTATCAGTGGATTTAATAAAACTGTATAGTTTTGATAATGTTCGATAATAATATTGTAGATGGGCTTAAAGGGTATTCCACTTAAAGATTCGGGCAAAGACGGAATCATGTGTTGGATCCCAATATGATCAACATACCTATCACATTTAGAAATATGAATTAACAATAATAAAAGACACCGTAAAATCTGATGCAAAAGTAGTTTCAATGAAATTGTATAAAAGTTGCATATATTTTAGTTGTGCGGAATTCGTTAAATGTCGATTTTAGAATATACAGATACAAAATAAATATTTAATAATTAATATTTTAGTATCAAAATTTTAATGCGTTTAATAAAATTAAAATAAATTTCAATATAAAATAGTATTGGAATAATAACTTTATTAAATTGATTTTAATTGATATGTTATCAACGATTTTGTACATAATTTTATACAAGTGAAAGAAACTGCTTATTTTAGTGTTAGTTTATTAAATGAAACACATATGTATATATGTTTTAGTTATTAGTAAAAATAGTATTATTTTTAAATAATATGGATGTGTGTAAATACACGTTTAAATACATGAAACAGCATAAGTGTAGTTTATATATATAATTGTATGTATTATATGCAGAGTGTTTATGAAAGTTGTATTATGTAAGTTGTATTATGTTTATGATCTAATCAAATTTTGATAATGACTTTTATGAACTATAAGGATAAAAAGAATTTATATAAACACGTGTTTTGAAATGTTTTCCTTCTAAATTGTAGACTTTTTTAAATATTAGGAATGAATTTCCTAAAATTTGATATTGTCAAAATAAACAGTGTAAAACTTGAGTGTTTGTTCAAAATTTCAAATTTCATATAAGCAAGTTTTATAAAAATATTAATCCTTCAAAATCTACTTATATTTTGAAAACAATTCAAATCTCTACCGGAATATTTGATTTCGTTCGAGTGTTGACAATAAAATGCTGTATAAGACGTGTATTATCGCTGCCTACTTTAATTAAATTAATTTTTATTTGCAGCTTACATTCATTTTAATAATAATGACAATATTAAATTGCAAAATTTTTTACCAAAAGATGATTTAAGAAACATATAATTAAGAATGGAAACATTTCAAATACGTACATACATGTCTATATATAAATGTGTTTTTCTTAGAAAATACTTTTTAAATAGAAATAAAGTGATTTATCAGGACTTGATCATAAACATCGTGAAATTACTATATATTTAACATTTTAACAGTTACTTACCATTGTCGCTCATCTCTTTTATAAAAGCTTTTTAGGCCTGTATCTTCAGTTATATTATAAACTAATTTTACGTTGTAATACCCTGGCAATACATCATTAGGGAATATATATTTGACAATGTTTTTCTCAACATCATACATAGATTTTACCGATGCATAAATGATCTCTTCTTGAGTATCATTCATAAAATATGAAGAATAAAACACACTTAGATTAATATTTTTTACGTGTAAACTAGAATACAATAATATGCTTGATGTTGGATGTTTAATCTCTGTACGTATAATGCAGTTGCAGACAAGAATATTTTCTTCGATATGTGTAACGATCATATCATAAAGATGCGGTAATATATCATTTGAATGTCTGTTTAACTCTTCTTGAGATATTTTAATTATCTGATCGTCGGTTAAAAAAGCCGCCGCGACGATGATAGTTAAACTGCTGCTTAACAATAGTTTAAGAAACATGATACTACTTTTATCTTAGATATCTGTAAAAATATATTTTTGTTAGAAAGTACAAACGGACAAATTAGACACAGTACTGTCTCTACCTTGATTTAAGGGAAAAGATGGAATTAAGACAAATATATAAAAATAAACTTAATTTTGAATAACTTACTCTGTATAATGAGATATACTACAAATTCTAAGCAACTGTATGTTTCGTTACAATAATTAGCTGCAATAAATTAATGTTTTATCCACTATCATTGTAACATGAAAGATATACATACGCACTTATGATTTCTTATTATTTCGAGAAACTTCCAAAGACTAATAACACTTGACGATATTACAATAAATGTGTATGTCATATGTAAACACACAACTTCTGAGGTCGTTAACAAATGTTTCGATCGAGAAACGGTATGTAATGTAAGCACAGTACGGTGCCGTTTTTCCCACTCCAAATTCCTGCTAGCGATCGAAAGATGGCAAAACTGTTTATTTCGCGTTGGTCTAAAGCAAAAGAGGCTGTTACATAGAATGCAAAAATATCTGTAAATACATTTGAATTCTTTTATACTGTTTAAAAGTAGTATATTCCTTTACCAAAAATTTAAGAATTTTTATAATTTATAATATACATTCAAATAAAATTTTATTAACTATATTATTACGAGTTTGTATCAGTAAATTGTCTTTAAGAAAGTTAATGAAAAACGTAACTTATTAACATTAAAGTATAATATTACAGTATCGTATATAAGAAAATATAATGAATAACTATTATTTTTTAGGTTTTTGTTCACTCTTTCAAATTTATATGGTGGATATATGAATATAACAACAGGAAATCTCTCAAATCGATCAAATCAATAATCGTGTTTTTCTCAAAACGAAGCAGATTTTTAAATTAAAATTAAAGTTTTCTTATAATGTGGAATAAAAATGTTATAGAGATAGCGTGCTCCAAGAATTATGCCATATCATTTATTATTAAATTAAAAATATTTATTAGTACATTAATAAAACACATTCGTAAAGAATACTTTTTATAGGATTTAAAATATTAATAACATATGTAATATGTTATTACATATAACATGTAAATATTAATATAACGCACTAATTTGTTAATATTTATATACAAATATATTTAAATATTATTTATATGTACAGTATTTTATAATATTATTTACACATACAATATTTTATTATGTGCAACATTCGTAATTATTTTACATTATAGTAAAATTATAATCTATACTGTAATATTATCCACTATTAAATCACATATATATTACACATTAATATTCATATATTAATTTATGTGTATTAGCAAGTAATAATTAATGCAGTACTAATATACATATATTGATATACATTATTAACATAATAAAAAACTTAAGAGATGTTAAAATAAATAAATATTAAAATGTAATTTTATAGTTTTTTTGTGTTACTATATTAATAATTCAGAATTCAACTTATTTTTGTAATATTAACAAAATATATTAATCTACGTATTAAAAAATAACTTTCTCTCATTTGCATAATTAATAGTACAACATTTATTAAATAAGCCGGCTAAAATATGCGTCACAGATTTGAAACGTTTTTCTCTTATATCAATGTTAAATACGGCTATAGGACCACAAAACTACTTAAATCATGGATTAGACTTAGGAAATCCATCATTATTAATTTCTCAATCATGTATAATAAAATTATGTATTCCATTTGCATATAACCGTAACATTTTAATATTTGTACTTTTACGCTGAAGAAGGCTCAAAACGAGAGCCAGAAACGATTTATTTAGTAATTTAATTGTTGATTTCGAAGTTTATTCTATCTTTTCATTTTGAATATTTCCTTTGATAATCTATATAAAATGCTCCAGTAATGCAAATACTTTCTTTTACAATCGAAGAAACGATCAATAATTTTATTGATGACTCTTTTGATCACGATTATTTACGTTATATAGAACTTATTAACTTATTAACTTATTAAATGATATTATTACATATCTATTATTAATAATAAATGTCGTGTAATTAATCTTCGCAGTCTCGTCTAGACTATGAAAAAATTTTTAGTAAATTTTATATTATACGTATATTTTGAACATTTTCGTATAATAAATTATTCCATGTAATAAATTATTTTGTATTAAATATCGATTTATATTGTATTTAATTTGTATTATATTTTGTCATATAATTGTAATATGTATTTAGCATAGAAATATTATGCATAAAAATATTATGTTGGTATGAAAATAATAAAAATATAATAAAAATATATAAAAATAATGTTGTATAGCTATATTAAAATGGAACATATAAATTCTTTATATTTTGTTCTTTATATTTTATATAAAGAAAGAGACTTAAAATATTTTGCAATATTTATATTTTTCGAGTCTTAATTATAAAAACTTTAGAAGAATCAGTGATTAATTTGACAAATTCTATACATATATTAATAATTAGTTTTTAAATAATTAAAAAAATGATTGATAGATATCAAAGATCAGTTTATTGCTAATTAAGAAGATTTATAGAAATACGGTAAATGATTTTTTTAATTATTTAAAAATTTAATTATTAATACATGTATAGAATTTGTCAAATTAAAATCAATGATTCTTCTAAAGTTTTTATAATTAAGATTTGAAAAATATAGATGTTGTAAAATATTTTAAATGTCTCTTCCTTTTTATAAAATATAAAGAATTCATATGTTCCATTTTAATATAGTCGACATTATTTATATATTATTATTATAATTTTTATACCAGCATAATATTTTTATGCATAATATTTCTATGCTAAATACATATTACAATTATATGACAAAATATAATACAAATTAAATATAAAATATAAGTCGATATTTAATACAAAATAATTTATTACATGGAATAATTTATTATACGAAAATGTTCAAAATATACGTATAATATAAAATTTACTAAAAATTTTTTTATAGTCCAGACGAGACTGCGAAGATTAATTACATGACATTTATTATTAATAATAGATATGTAATAATAGCATTTAATAAGTTAATAAGTTAATAAATTCTATATAACGTAAATAATCGTGATCAAAAGAGACATTAATAAAATTATTGATCGTTTCTTCGATTGTAAAAGAAAGTATTTGCATTACTGGAGCATTTTGTATAGATTATCAAAGGAAATATTTAAAATAAAAAGATAGAATAAACTTCGAAATCAACAATTAAATTACTAAATAAATCGCGATTTAAAATTCGCGAGAAAACGCGACGAATAAATAAATCGACAATAATCGGAATATTCGATTGCGAGATATGCACAAATTTTTTTATAATATGATAATTAAAACCATCAATAGACACGCGTGCGATATAATTATTATCACACAAATGATGACAGACGAAGATATTTTGGCAAACATTTGTGATCCGTTTTTGTTTATAAACATAAAATTCACTGTTCGATTTATTTGCAATTATTATATGTTAAATGGATTTTGGGACTGGATAGAAGAACCCCAAATTATATAATAGAAGAAGAAGTCAAAATAAAATGGAGGAATAAAATGGAATAAAAGAGAGGGCAATAAGGAGAGCTGTCAGGTATGAGGAGAAGTCGAGAAGAAGAAGTCAGAGAAGAAAATAATCCATGTATAAAGGATCTAGAGAAAGGCAGGACAAGGAAAGAGGAAAGTAATTGGGAGAGGAAGAGAGGAGAGTTGATAGAGAGGGCAGGAATGGAGAGGGAACAGTTGAGAAGAGAAATGGTGGCGAAGGATCAGGAGGCGGCGGAGAATTTTGTAAAAAGAATAGAAAAAAGGGAGAGGGAGGAGAGGCGAATAAAGATAAACGAGTCAAGGTACAATAGAAAATATAAAGAGATGTTTAACAGAAGAGTTATCAAGGTATTTACTAGGAAAAAAGAAAAAAAAAAGATAAATGTTGATAGCCAGGTACAGATGCGGGAGGTGAAGAGCAGCCAACATTGGAGGGAGGAATTAAGAGGATAGGAGATGTAGATTATGCCAAAGGGAAGAGGAGAACCTAGATCATATACTAAAAGAATGTGAAGCGACAAAAAGTGAGATACAGTTAGAGGAATTTTTAGAGAGGAAGGAAAAGGTTCAGAAGTAATGAGATGGATAGAAAAGGTTAGAAGGGAGGATAGGAGTGGAGAGGGAAATTGAAGGACAGTCAGAGAATTGAATGAGAGTGGGAGTTAGTTAGTTAGTTAGGGTGATCTGTAATATATATGTAGGTAAAAAATCAGGTTACATGTTTGCAATTTTTATGGATATGTTTGTAAATTTATGTAATGGTTGACGGAAGTCATCCTAAGCTACAAGGCATTAAATAAATAAAAAAATAAATAAATATATAGTTGTTATTACATATATAATATAAATATTAAAGAATTGTAATATGTTTTATAAATTTTTAATTTTAGATGTTATTTAAATATTAATATGCATTATTATATCTATATTATACCTATAATAAAAATTTGATTCAAGATAACATAATTAATAAATATTAACATATAGAGTTACAAATATAGAACAAATTAAATACAATTTAAAATATAAATCAGAATTCAATTTAAATTAGATAATACATTTTTAGTACATTAATAATATAATGTTAAATATATTGCAGATACTTTCTCATTTAATATAATTAAAATTATTCATATAATATAACATAATTGAATTATAATTATTTATATATTATAATTATGAACATAATTTACACTTAGTTTAATTATATATTTAATTATAATATAAAATAATTTAATTATAATTATTTATATATTAAACAACAAGATATAAGAAAACTAGCGTCTCCGAGCCACAGCGGATGGTAATGCCTGAAAATTCTTTAATTGTACGCGAAAATTTAAACGAGAAAGGCATATGCATATATTTTACTTGGTGCATTTACCAAGATATATAGATTCTCATTTTTGAGAATTCTATAAAACCCTCTTTACCCCTCTGAAGAGACGTAGGCGAGAAAAATATCGGGGCGAAGTCGCTGAATCGGGAATTTATTTATTTATATATTATTATGAATACAATTTACACTTTTCTTTACTTCATGTTAATAAGGAAATAAAAACATCAGTGAATTAAATTAAACTTTGTAAATGCGTACATTTAATTATATATTATACGTACATTTAATTATATAATATTAAAGCACATAAGCATAAATAATAAGTCGATAACTATAAACATTATAAAAAGCTATTTGTAAGAAAGATATATAGATGTGTTTGCGTCATAATTGTTACTTTCATTAAACGGAAATTATTGATATTCTACAAAATTCTGAAAATAATCCTGTTGACATTTGATTTCGAAAATGCGCCTTCGTATCTTGCTTTGAATATTTGAAATATGTTGGGCTATATAGATATATATTGGTAAATTTGCCATATGTCTGTAGAATTCTGCTAATTTGCTTATCTAAAACAGATTATGTCGATATTAAGTATTAGTGAGAATAGCCAATAATCAATTATCAACAAATATTATATTAAATATGATCTCGTGTATGTATATATATAAATATAATCATATTAATATATATATATATATATATATATATAATACATACACAATAATCTTAAATATATAATAAGGATAAATAATAATTATACATTATAAAAATTACAACTTTTTTTCTCAGAGTCAAAATTTTAGTTATCCCGAAAAAAAAACTGGTTTATAAGTTTGTAAACATTTTTAATCAATTAATGTCGATTTTTATATAGATTTCATTTCTTCATCAAAAATTTAGCAATCGAACAAAATGACATAAATTTTAAAAAAATGAGTAAAGCTCTAAATGTGAAATATAAATATAAATTTTTCGAACTCTTAAGAGAGAGCCAAATGTGAATAATAGTGCTTCAGTTTCAGAAATAATTAATTTTTTTAAATAAATTGTTTTTTAATAAATTGTATATATAAAGTATATTTCTTTCCGCGACTAAATAACTGAGTAAATCTCAATTCAAGATTTCTATTAAAATAAATTATCCTAATCTCTATAGAAAAGCATAGACGAAAGAATATCGTGAGAAAATTACTGAAACAAAAATCATTCTTTTATTGTATTATGTGTTCTGTCATATTACGTGCATAGTATTGCACTATATTTTACTTAACAATTCTTTTGTCTGCAAGGAATGTTTACAAATAATTTTGTAAGTAATGACAAATAAAAATCTATAGAATTTAGAATTAGTGATTTTAAAAATAAAATTAGAGATCTATACGAGTTACGGTTATCACAGAGAAAATATCGTTATAATAATTGATATATCTAGCAAACTATTGCATTAATTCGTGTTAACCTATCCATCATTATTAAATTTTTGATAAACTAATGACTCGTATAATATTAAAGTATGCGAATCACATTACATAACACTCTCCAAATCATATTGAAAAATATTTAAATTTATTTAACTAACAATAAGAGGTAAACATCTAGATTAACTAATTATAAGATTTAAATCTAAAGCTTATAAATTCTCTTTTTAAAATTTATATAAATCGATTTTTATTAAAATCACTAAAGTTTCCAAGTAAAGAAATTCTCTTCCTTTTTTGCTTTCATTTGTTCACTCATTCTTTCCCACTCTGTCATTCACTAAAAATTATATATTTTGGAAATAGTATATTTTCAGAAATTAGATATAAAAAATGCTTATTTCATAAAAGAAATTAAATGACATTATGAAATTAAAAGACATTTAATTTTTGCTTGTTACTTTCGTATACCGTAACAATAATATATACTATATGAAAGCAAAAAATTAATGATTAATAAGCGAATACAAGTGGAATATTAGTACAATATTCATAAAATTAACTTTCATTTTCCTATTTCTCTCTTTTACAAAAAACTATAACTTCTTGCATTTATTTAATTCAACTTCTGTTGCATTAGTAAATTTATCTGTTAGAAAGTCGTAATCATCTAAAATTATTTTGATATTCAACAGTAATATTAAATAACAAATTTATGTTGTATCATGGTTATTTATTTTACATATACATATATAAACACATGCAATTTTTACCTTTATCAATTGTTCCACAGAATACACATGATTAATAATAACAGTAAATGTTACATGCTCGCTGACTTGTCTATAACAATAAAACAATAAATTTAATTACATATTTAAACTGTTGAATGATAGATATATATTTACGAAAAAAGCTGTATTACCTGGGTCTTATGTTCTCAAGTTTTTCTAATATGATGTCGAGTACTACAGGATTCCTTGCATGCTTCGCGATAGTAAAAAGAAAGTAATTAATATAATCTTTATCGGAAAAATCTTCTAAAAACATAATCGATGTTATACTATCATTTTTTATTGGATTTAAAGCGGCTTTGATAAATTGTGAATCCTCAGGACAAGACAGATATTTTAAAATTTTAGTTTTAAATTTTTCTTTTTCCAGACGATATACTCTACACAAATGAGAATCTTCGTTAAGAGAATTGCTAAGAGAATAGTTCAATAATTTTAAACCTTGACAGTATGTCCATTCTTTCCACCATGGCAAAAGTCTATGAGATTCAATAAAAAACAAATTCTGTTATAAGTTTTGCATATATTAATTTAATATTTTGACGAAATAATTTAACAAATTATAATTTTATAACATATAATCTAATAAAATTAAATTTTGATCAAATAATGTAACAAATATTGCACATGTATCTACAAAACATTTAAATTAAAATAATCGGAAATATACGAGAAAAATTACGTGTTCTTTTCGGGATCTGCGAGATGTCGATTTAAATTATTCTGGGCTGCTTTTATGCATATGCGATCATCAAGATTACATGCCCATTTCGCAGCCTCCATTCTCAAACTCTTTTTAAGATCGTGTTCCTTAGAAACTTCATCGTATTTAAGTTTATCAAGCAAAATGTTTAGCAAGTATAGCATTTTTTCCTAAATATATATATATATATACATATATATATATATATACATATATATACATACATACATACATACATACATACATACATACATACATACATACATACATACATACATACATACATACATACATATATATATATATATATATATATATATATGTATTTATATGTATTTATATTGTTACTTGATATAAATTTTATATTTTTCGATTCTTGCATTATGTTTCGCTATATAGAAAGATATCTTGCGCAATTGTATTTTACATATTAAGAAGGTTTATATATTAAGAACATTCTGTCTTTGTAAACAGCTATGAATTTTTTTATAAAGATATCTATCTTATATAGCTATACTTATATATACGTATTTATACACAAATTTGAATTTTTCTTGCGTGCACATTCGCACATGCTTAACACATGTTCATATCACAAAATAAACATACAGAAGTGCATGTATGCATATATTGTAGACATGTAAACATAAATGTAGACATTATTATCTATTGTATAATATAATTTAATAATTTATTAATTCTTTTGTGTATTAAACATACAGACAATTAATACATATGTTTCCTACTAACTTTCTATTTCAAAATTAATGATATTTAAATCGTTATTATAAATATCATGCTGTGATAAAAATGATAAAAATTTTCAAATTTTTCTCCCTTTTCTTCTCCAACTTTTTATAATATTAGTACATACTCTATTTGAATGTTAATTTACAAATATATTTATCTTTCATCCAAAATAAATATATTTAAACTTTTTTACCTAATCAAATTTTTTCTAGCTACATGTATTTTATTGTATGTATCTTTTTGGAAAGCACTTAATAATTATAAATGCACACAATATTAATATGTGCAATAAGTAATATGTTTTTAGTATGTTGAAGACATCACTATTGACATTGTTTATAATATGTGTTATTACCTTGATATTTAAATATATTTGTTCCCGAAATAGAAAGATATTGGACAGATATTCTAAAGCTTTGAACATAGGATACCATGCGATGTAGTCTGTTTCTCGTGATAGATATTTCGTAATATTCCAGAATACAGTGGAATTAAGTTGGTCTGTTATCATTAAGTGGAATGCGTCATCGATAATTTGAGCACGATTCAAAACATGTATTTTCTTATAATTATAAAAATTTAGAAATTTTACAATTCTTTGCCAGTTCTCGATTTCATAATTGACTCGATAATAATCTGTAAGACAAATAAATTGTATACATATATATATATATATATATATATATATAATTTTTTCAAAGGGTTTATCAATACAAGTATCTGTTTATACTTTTGTACATTAATAATCAAAATCTATCATAAGGTGAACATAAATAAAAATGCAATTTGTATATTATATTAGATACAAAATCAGTTTGCATGAAAATTGAATATTTCCAATAATTATACGTATGTATGTATGTATATATAATGTATGTATGTATATATGACGTATAATAAATGTAATGTACATAATATAATGAATAATATTTTTAAGAATGTAAATCTTTATCTCCAATGTATATGTAGGATAAACACTATAAAATGTAATAAATTTATTCCAAACTTACTAGATTGTTCTGTATTATGTATTACAATGTTACCGAACTTTATATGAAACGATTCAGGTATGTAATAATTACTGTATATCGTTACTTTTAACTGTCTGATAGACTGATTATAATCTTTTTCTAATTTCACTGACCTAACATCACAATATTTTTGTTTTGGTAGAGAAATAATTAGCTGGCTTATAGTAGATAAATTGTCTGTAGATATTTGAATGGACGAAAAGTTCTTCACAATTTCACCAAAATAGTTAAAAGTTGATTTGCTAAAGTTATAAAATTTATTCAAATTTTATTGATGTGTTAACGAAAAATATTATAAGCATATATATACATATATATATATATATATATATATATATATATATAATTATTAAAATATAAAATTGTTAATTATATTTAGTTTAATTTAATTAAATATATAATTAATTACATAATTCATCATATGATTTACAATTTTTAAATAAATATTTAATACTACAGTTTAAATTATAATTTAAAAAGAATGGCCACTTGATTACTTTTAAAAGATAAGTGTATATGTAAATTGAAAATATATCTTAAATATTTAATGACATTGAAGATAAGAAGAATTGTAAATGGTAATATTAAAGATAATAAAGTATGAAAGAAATGATGTAAGTTTAAAAAAAATAAAATAGATTTAATTTAAATAAGAATTATAGTAGTATGGTGCATTACTTACTTGTCCTTTACATATATACGGATACTCTGCCAAAATATCTCTGTAGTAACCATTCTTTGAAATTTACGCAATATACTGGATACTATAATTATATAATTTAGATCAGAATATGAATAAGATAGTAGTTATAGTAAATAATAATTAATAATTATGGTAAAAGTGCATAAAACGTTACACATTACCGATTTTATGATCATTTGAATATGTTATAGAGGAAGTTATCCTGAGTAATTCCGCGCAAAAAAGTAAACGAAAGGCGACATTGGTTTAAAAGATATAATAAGTTAAAGTTTGACAATTTTAATACTTTTCTTAAGCAAACTGATATTAAACACATTAATTTGCAATTGACAATTACATATTTTTTTTAAAACAACTATGTTTTTTTCTTTAGATCAATTGATTCGTCTCATTATTTAATACATAAAAGTATTATGGTAAGATAATCGAAAAATAAATATTTTACTAGATATTTTATAGCTTATGTAAAATTAAAATATCTTAAAAAGTACTCAATGAAAAAATACTTTATTATAGCGTTTTGAAAAGCTCTCGAGGTAATCTACAAGAATATGTAATAAAAATAGAGATTTTCATGTAAAAAAGTATTTATTAATGACCTTGACTTGATTTTGACAAGGTCAAATTCATATTTTCATCATGTGTATCCCTTCAAGCTGCGAAACTTTCGTTCGAAAAATTCTTTTCAATAAAATCATTAGTTCGCGAGATAATCGACTGTATCACTTAAAAAGAAACATCCTATATATGTAATATATTTTATATATATATAAATTTTATATACTACAGCTTCATTACGTATATATATATGTGTGCATGTGTATAATGAAGAGATTATACAGGGTGTCAAGAACATTTTTGCAGTCCCGAAGTGTGCAGGTAGATCGGCTTAAATTAAGAAGGAAGATATACTTTTGCGACATTCGCAATAATGAACGAAAAATTAATTAAAGAAGATCGGACAATGCGCGTGGCTAGAAATGCATGGCGGTAAAGGTGATCTCACTGTAATATAATAGCGGCTCGCGGCGAAACAATGATGGGGGAGGAGAAGAGCGATGAGTGTGTAGGCCCGCGGCCCAATCACTGCTGTTTCTGACACCTTATATATAAAATTAAAATTTGTATCAGTTATTCTATTTCTTTTTATCATACCTTTAATAAAACTGTAATGTTCAAAAGAAATATTGAATGGTGTATTATAAAGTGATGTATTATATTCAGTATCGAAATGAAGGGATTCCTGTTGAATTTGTACCATAAACAAGTTCATCATCTGGGTCCTTGGGAGAGCCTATAGAAAATAGTTTAAATATATTTACTTAATTAATATTAGATTTAACACACAATAGCAAAATGCATTAGAGCTTACTTTCTACGTGTATGTAAAAAAATCTCTTATACTCTTATACTCTTAAAATATAGAATAAATAATTTAAAAATATAAAATATTAATAACAAAAATGATTACTCAACATATAACTTTAAAATTAATATTTTTAAAATTATTAAAATATATTATGTAGCAAAATTATCTTATTATACACAGTTTCTACATGTATACATATATTATGTGAAATCTGAATGATAATTTTTCTTTTTTTATATATAATAATTTAAAGTCGGACAAATGTAACATAGTGACTTTGATACACACACACAAAATAAAAGAAACATAAAAATGTAAAAATATTTTAAATTGTATTATCTATGTATATTGCATTTACTTGAAAATTAGCATTTTTAAAAAACTTTTCTTTGTAAATATGGAATCTTTGCCTATATACATTCTGATTTATAAAAAAAATTGCACGCTATAATGGTAAATATTTAACTTTACACAGCCCCAAATGACTTGACCTTGATATATATTGTCAAGATCATAGCACTGAGTAACATCCAAAAAGTTTTAGGCGTCGCTCGTTGATTATTAAAAAATTCTTCAATATGTTTAATCCTTTATAATTTTCAATATGAAAGGTCAATTATTGCACAATGTGTCTAAAAATTCTGTGAATGTTATAAAACTTCTTTTGTTTATAACTTTTTAATAAACAACGAGCAACGCCAAAAATTTTTTGGATTATTTAGGGCAGTGACCTTGACAATATATGTCAAAGTCGAGTCATTTGGGGGTGGCTGTGTAAAGACAAATATTTAGATAAATATATATATGTTTAACGCAAACCTTGCTCACTTGCAAATAATATCATATATATATATATATATATATATATATATATATATATATATATATTGCTTCCTAGTGAGTAAAGTTTGCGCTGAAGAATGCTTAAAATAACCTGATTGGTGACATATAATCCAAGAAATGCGACAATAGCCTCATTTAACAAAGAGGATAACGACCAAAGTGGATTTTCATAATAAGAACATTCCTGTATTATTTTATGAGCCATAAAGCGGGCAACTTTGATTTTAGTCGCAACAGAATCTACATTGTCATTGTAGATAATATCTGCTTCTCTGAAAATTACAAAAATGTTTTATATAATGATTATTTCAGTTGTATAATACCACATAAAAAATATTGTATTTCCAAATTTATAATTAAATGATTCTATTAATTAACATATTAATTATATATTATTATTATTATAATGTTTTATTTCTAAATGCTCATTACAAAGTAATGCAATATATTGGAAGCGAGTATCGCACTATATATATATATATATATATATATATATATACATATATATATATATATATATAGATATATATATGATCCATCATATTGTTATGTATTGTTAATGTAAATTTAATTGTAAATTTAAAAAAGTTTGATGGATAAGAGTGAAAACCTTAATATAATACTTATACCTATTCTTATACCTTAATATAATTATTTAATTTACAACTTTATATTTTAATTTGTAATTTTCAATTTTAAGATTATAAAATATGTATATTTTAATGTTATTCTTCATATAAGTTGATGTATATTGAAGATATAGGTTATCCAGAAAGTTATTGTTTTGTGTAAACTTCAAATTCAAATACGCATATTTTAGCAAGTGAACTTTATCGAATGAAAAGAGGACCATTGAAGTTTAAATATTTTTGCCAACGAGAAACAATATTTATTTATTCCTGTAGCATAAAATTTAGATTTCTAGAAGCGACAAACTCTTCAAAGGCGTTTCTCAGTAGCTTTATTGTTAAAGATTTTCCTCTGCAAGAAATTGTCGATATGTTTAAAAAAGAGATAGTCAGTTGGTGAGAAAACCGGCGAATACGATGGGTGAAACAGAGTTTCATGGAGCTTCATAGCTCAATTGATTAATGCAGCGTCGGTGTAGAACAATTGGAACTTTTCTGTTGATCAACACCGAACGCAAACTTGTCAGTTCCTAATGCATTTTGTCAATTTCTTGACAGTACCTCTCTCCCGTAATAATTCCGCCCGAATTTAAAAAGCTGTAGTAAATTATCTCGGCTGACGATTACCAAATAGTCACCATAATCTTCTTTTAATACAATTTTAATTTCGAAGAGTGTTTTGGCGCTCCATCATGGTCTAACTATTGTGCAAAACGTCGACGATTATCATATAAGAACTATTTTTCATCGCACGTTACAATGCGATCAAGAGACGGATTATTCTGTTTGTGCAAAATCAGTGCAGAACATACTTCAAAGTGACGATTCTTTTGATTTTCGCTCAATTGATGCGGCATTCATTTCTCGAGCTTTTTTGTTTTTCCAATTCGTTCCAGGTAATTAGAAACAGGTGACTTGCTTACGCTAAGTTTTTCCGCTAGTTCTTGAATCGATGTGCGTGACTCTGTTTCAACTAACACTTTTAAATGGTCGTCGTCAATAATCGCAGTCGTCCAGAACTTTTCAACTTCAAGGCTCTCCACTGAAATTTACGGAAATCACCATTGCATTGTACGTTCATTAGGGATTCCTGGACCAAATGCATCGTTAATATTGAGAGCCTTCAGTTGCTTTACTTACGCCTCATTTTGAATTCATATAAAAAAATCGTTAGAATTTGCTATTTTATCATTCTTAATTTCATAGTTTAAATAAAACGGAAACCAATATCGAAACACAGTTATTTTCATTAAAATGTAGAGCAAAATTTGGGTTTTTACATTGATATAATATAAATACAAAAGAAAGACAACGTGAAATAGCGTCAAATCTTAAACAACAAAAATCGCAATAACTTTCTGGACAATAATAAACTGGACTAATAATAATAATAAACGATTAGGTATGTTTCTCCTCTCAATGCTTCATACAATATATCTTATTCTTTAAAATATATTCAAATAATATTTTAAAAATAGAGAAAAGATATGTAAATAATTTTAGTTAACAAGAATTTGTGTTGTTCTCTTTTTTATTTTTAAAATATATTAATTTTTTCTAATTATATAATTACCTGTAAAGAATAAGTCCTAAATTTATAATGCTTTCGTTTTGAAAATCCGGAAGTGCAATATGATTTATTTCCCAAGTTTGATTCAAACGTTTCCATTTATCGAACAAGTACGTTGTTATATTTCCAACAAATTGGTGTGCAAATTCGCAATGCATTCTACACCACATATTAACTCTGACACTTTCATTTGTACCAGGCATAAAAGATAAATTAATTCGGTTGAGAAATAGTAGATAAATAGGCTTTATAAATGTATGAAAATATGTCTTCGTCATGTTTTTATCATTCCATTCTTTTGTTTGTATCAGTGGATTTAATAAAACTGTATAGTTTTGATAATGTTCGATAATAATATTGTAGATGGGCTTATAGGACATTCCACTTAAAGATTCGGGTAAAGACGGAATCATGTGTTGGATCCCAATATGATCAACATACGTTGCAAACCTATCACATTCAGAAATATGAATTAACAATAATAAAAGACACCGAAAAATCTGATGCAAAAGTAGTTTCAATGAAATTGTATAAAAGTTGCATATATTTTAGTTGTGCGGGATTCGTTAAATGTCTATTTTAGAATATACAAATACAAAATAAATATTTAATAATTAATATTTTAGTATCAAAATTTTAATGCGTTTAATAAAATTAAAATAAATTTCAATATAAAATAGTATTGGAATAATAACTTTATTAAATTGATTTTAATTGATATGTTATCAACGATTTTGTACATAATTTTATACAAGTGAAAGAAACTGCTTATTTTAGTGTTAGTTTATTAAATGAAACACATATGTATATATGTTTTAGTTATTAGTAAAAATAGTATTATTTTTTTAGTTATTAGTAAAAATAGTATTATTTTTTTAAATAATATGGGTGTGTGTAAATACACGTTTAAATACATAAAACAGCATAAGTGTAGTATATATATATAATTGTATGTATTATATGCAGAGTGTTTATGAAAGTTGTATTATATAAGCTTTCATGATCTAATCAAATTTTGATAATGACTTTTATGAACTATAAGGATAAAAAGAATTTATATAAACACGTGTTTTGAAATATTTTCCTTCTAAATTGAAGACTTTTTTAAATATTAGAAATGAATTTCCTAAAATTTGATATTGTAAAATAAACAGTGTAAAACTTAAGTGTTTGTTCAAAATTTCAAATTTCATATAAGCAAGTTTTATAAAAATATTAATCCTTCAAAATCTACTTATATTTTGAAAACAATTCAAATTTCTACCGGAATATTTGATTTCGTTCGAGTGTTGACAATAAAATGCTGTATAAAACGTGTATTATCGCTGCCTACTTTAATTAAATTAATTTTTATTTGCAGCTTACATTTATTTTAATAATAATGATAATATTAAATTGCAAAATTTTTTATCAAAAGATGATTTAAGAAACATATAATTAAGAATGGAAACATTTCAAATACGTACATGTCTATATATAAATGTGTTTTTCTTAGAAAATACTTTTTAAATAGAAATAAAGTGATTTATCAGGACTTGATCATAAACATCGTGAAATTACTATATATTTAACATTTTAACAGTTACTTACCATTGTCGCTCATCTCTTTTATAAAAGGTTTTTAGGCCTGTATCTTCAGTTATATTATAAACTAATTTTATGTTGTAATATCCTGGCAATACATCATTAGGGAATATATATTTGACAATGTTTTTCTCAACATCATACATAGATTTTATCGATGCATAAACGATCTCTTCTTGAGTACTATTCATGAGTATAAAATGTGTAGTATAAAACACACTTAGATTAATATTTTTTACGTGTAAACTAGAATACAATAATATGCTTGATGTTGGATGTTTAATTTCTGTACGTATAATGCAATTGCAGACAAGAATATTTTCTTCGATATGTGTAACGATCATATCATAAAAATGCGGTAATATATCATTTGAATGTCTGTTTAACTCTTCTTGAGATATTTTAATTATCTGATCGTCGGTTAAAAAAGCCGCCGCGACGATGATAGTTAAACTGCTGCTTAACAATAGTTTAAGAAACATGATACTACTTTTATCTTAGATATCTGTAAAAATATATTTTTGTTAGAAAGTACAAACGGACAAATTGGACATAGTACTGTCTCTACCTTGATTTAAATGGAAAAGATGGAATTAAGACAAATATATAAAAATAAACTTAATTTTGAATAACTTACTCTGTATAATGAGATATACTACAAATTCTAAGCAACTGTATGTTTCGTTACAATAATTAGCTGCAATAAATTAATGTTTTATCCACTATCATTGTAACATGAAAGATATACATGCGCACTTATGATTTCTTATTATTTCGAGAAACTTCCAAAGACTAACACGATATTACAATAAATGTGTATGTCATATGTAAACACACAACTTCTGAGGTCGTTAACAAATGTTTCGATCGAGAAACGGTATGTAATGTAAGCAAAGTACGGTGCCGTTTTTCCCACTCCAAATTCCTGCTAGCGATCGAAAGATGGCAAAACTGTCTATTTCGCGTTGGTCTAAAGCAAAAGAGGCTGTTACATAGAATGCAAAAATATCTGTAAATACATTTGAATTCTTTTATACTGTTTAAAAGTAGTATATTCCTTTACCAAAAATTTAAGAATTTTTATAATTTATAATATACATTCAAATAAAATTTTATTAACTATATTATTATTAGTATCAGTAAATTGTCTTTAAGAAAGTTAATGAAAAACGTAACTTATTAACATTAAAGTATAATATTACAGTATCGTATATAAGAAAATATAATGAATAACTATTATTTTTTAGATTTTTGTTCACTCTTTCAAATTTATATGGTGGATATATGAATATAACAACAGGAAATCTCTCAAATCGATCAAATCAATAATCGTGTTTTTCTCAAAACGAAGCAGATTTTTAAATTAAAATTAAAGTTTTCTTATAATGTGGAATAAAAATGTTATAGAGATAGCGTGCTCCAAGAATTATGCCATATCATTTATTATTAAATTAAAAATATTTATTAGTACATTAATAAAACACATTCGTAAAGAATACTTTTTATAGGATTTAAAATATTAATAACATATGTAATATGTTATTACATATAACATGTAAATATTAATATAACGCACTAATTTGTTAATATTTATATACAAATATATTTAAATATTATTTATATGTACAGTATTTTATAATATTATTTACACATACAATATTTTATTATGTGCAACATTCGTAATTATTTTACATTATAGTAAAATTATAATCTATACTGTAATATTATCCACTATTAAATCACATATATATTACACATTAATATTCATATATTAATTTATGTGTATTAGCAAGTAATAATTAATGCAGTACTAATATACATATATTGATATACATTATTAACATAATAAAAAACTTAAGAGATGTTAAAATAAATAAATATTAAAATGTAATTTTATAATTTTTTTGTGTTACTATATTAATAATTCAGAATTCAACTTATTTTTGTAATATTAACAAAATATATTAATCTACGTATTAAAAAATAACTTTCTCTCATTTGCATAATTAATAGTACAACATTTATTAAATAAGCCGGCTAAAATATGCGTCACAGATTTGAAACGTTTTTCTCTTATATCAATGTTAAATACGGCTACAGGACCACAAAACTACTTAAATCATGGATTAGACTTAGGAAATCCATCATTATTAATTTCTCAATCATGTATAATAAAATTATGTATTCCATTTGCATATAACCGTAACATTTTAATATTTGTACTTTTACGCTGAAGAAGGCTCAAAACGAGAGCCAGAAACGATTTATTTAGTAATTTAATTGTTGATTTCGAAGTTTATTCTATCTTTTCATTTTGAATATTTCCTTTGATAATCTATACAAAATGCTCCAGTAATGCAAATACTTTCTTTTACAATCGAAGAAACGATCAATAATTTTATTGATGACTCTTTTGATCACGATTATTTACGTTATATAGAACTTATTAACTTATTAACTTATTAAATGATATTATTACATATCTATTATTAATAATAAATGTCGTGTAATTAATCTTCGCAGTCTCGTCTGGACTATGAAAAAATTTTTAGTAAATTTTATATTATACGTATATTTTGAACATTTTCGTATAATAAATTATTCCATGTAATAAATTATTTTGTATTAAATATCGATTTATATTGTATTTAATTTGTATTATATTTTGTCATATAATTGTAATATGTATTTAGCATAGAAATATTATGCATAAAAATATTATGTTGGTATGAAAATAATAAAAATATAATAAAAATATATAAAAATAATGTTGTATAGCTATATTAAAATGGAACATATAAATTCTTTATATTTTGTTCTTTATATTTTATATAAAGAAAGAGACTTAAAATATTTTGCAATATTTATATTTTTCGAGTCTTAATTATAAAAACTTTAGAAGAATCAGTGATTAATTTGACAAATTCTATACATATATTAATAATTAGTTTTTAAATAATTAAAAAAATGATTGATAGATATCAAAGATCAGTTTATTGCTAATTAAGAAGATTTATAGAAATACGGTTACAAATGTTTTTAATCCCACAGCAGGCATTTTGTGTTTTGTAAATAAAAAGATATAAATATGACAATGAATATAGAAATATATTTATTTCATCTTTGAATATTACAATATCTTTCGCAATTGAATAATTTATTTGCTATTAATTTACATACATAAAAATATCTTGTTATACAGCAGTGATGCTACCGACATTTCGTGCACATAGCACGGAACAAAACCAGAAATTGTGCACATTATATATTATCCTCTGAGAACATTTATAGACTTTTGCTTTGTAGTTCATGTCCACGTTTCAATGTCCATAGAGGGAGTATCGCTTTCAGAGATCACCTAAAAGCAGGCTATGACGTCTCTCAGTCTTCTCTCTGGTGCACGAAATGCCGGTAGCGCCAGAATATAACAACAGAGAGAAGACTGAGAGGTGTCATGGCTCGCTTTTATTTTTTTTTTTTTTTTTTTTTTTTTTATTGAGCAAAAGGCAAGCTTTGGCGGAACGCCATACAGCTAAATACATGTAAGATATATCGTCTGTTGGTAAGGCTCGCTTTTAGGTGATCCCTGAAAGCGATACGCCCTCTGTTAATCTAAAAAACGTGGACATGAACTACAAAGCCAAAGTCCACGAAAGTTCTCAGAGAGTAACATATATGTGCACAATTTCTGATTCTGTTCTGCTATGTAAAAAATGCCTGTAGTACACGAAATGCCATCAGTGCTGTACAGCAAAACGCATATGTATATAATTATAAATAAATTTTTAATTTTAATTTTTTAAATAAATTTTGTGGTCATCTCTCTCTCCCTTTCTCTCTCTTTCTCTACACATACACAAATAAACACACACACATATAATATATATATATATATATATATATATATATATATATGTATATATAGTATAACGCTACAACTTTATTCTGAAATATCTGCGTTATGTTTAGAAATATATATATATATATATATTTAATTTAAAACATTACATGAAATACACGCGCTGGAATTACATATATATATTCTATGTGTACATAAATACAGATATATTATCTCTTTTCGAAAGATATGTTAACATTGTAAAATTTAAATATAATATATATTTAATTAATTGATTCATATCTATTTACCATATGTCGTATCACAAAGTAAGAAATTAAAATTTGACTTCAATCTCGAAAAATACTGTGATCTTCCAATGTAATGTTCAAAGATAAAATAAATATTTTTCTATACATTCAATGTCATATTTATATATTTTTATTTACAAAAAAACAAAATGTCTGTTGTGGAATAAAAATCTTTTTAACCGTATTTCTATTAATCTTTTTAATTAGCAGTAAAATGATCTTTGATATTTATCAATCATTTTTTTTAATTATTTAAAAATGTAATTATTAATACATGTATAGAATTTGTTAAAGTAATCACTGATTCTTCTGAAGCTTTTATAATTAAGATTCGAAAAATATAGATGTTGCAAAATATTTTAAATATCTCTTCCTTTATATAAAATATAAAGAATTCATATGTTCTATTCTAATATAGTCAACATTATTTGTATACTTTTATTATAATTCTTTTACCAGCATAATATTTTTATGTTTAATATTTTATATAATATAATGTACTAAATTATAAAATTTAATATAATTACAAAATAGTATTATTATTAATAAATAGATTGTACACTGTCTTTTAGTTCCTAATTATTTTCAATCATTATGCATTTCTATCCAATATATTCTCTTCTTCGAGTTCTTGGATTATTATGGTTTATTGTATTCCTTTGTGTTAAAATTATAAAAATTATCATCATTTGTCATTCCTTCCTATGGAGTCCATCGAAATACTTTCTATGGACATTTGTTCTCAGGTATAGATATTCAAATCTGTAGTTGCCTTTTTCTCGATTATTGTTCCTTTTTCATTCATTTTAAAAATATTAATATAATTAATATAACAAATATTTATATAATTTTGGTATTTCTCTTAGTCTGACACTTCCCCTTCGACTTGTCTGGCATAGATGACTCTATCAATAACTACGATCGGTATTCATAACTCACTTTTATATTTAAGATCATACTTAAAATTATCTTAAATATAAGAAAAGTCTATACGAATATCAGTGTATGTTACCGCCGGCATAGCTCTCAGGCTCATTAAAATACTCA